AGTATTAATTAACAGTTGTTATGTGTTTTGTAATTTTTACAAATAAAATACTTTTAAAATACATACAAAGAATATTTAAAAACGCTATGTAATCACAAACACAATAAAAACACCAACCCTGAAACTCAGTTCTTCTGGCTATCTCCCATAAAACTAAACCAAAAGCATACATATCTGCATGTTTATATGCATCAAAAGAAGTCATACACATTGTTTCTGTAAGAAGCTCTGGTGCCATATATCTAAGAGTAATTAACAAAAGACTGTAACTACAATAAATACTTTATTTATAAACAGGGTTTGAATTAATGAAACCTCCCAAACCCACTCAAAGAATAACTTTTTTATCATTTATCTTGTAGCCCACCTTTGTAGAATTTATCTTGATAACCATATTAATTTGATAACTGTAAACTAAAAATAAATAAGTAAAAATAGTATGAAAAAAACCTTTTTGTTCCAACTCTTCTGTTACAGCTAACATCTAAGCAATTTGATTCTTTTGAATGTAAAACAGCAAGTCCAAGGTCAGATATACAGCATTGACCATTGCTTTTAACTAAAATATTTTTTGTTTTTATGTCTCTATGAGCAATAGCTGGTTTCCCTTGCATTCCATTAATTTCTGTATGTAAATGGACCAAACCACAAACAGCTGAGTGACTGATTAAAGCCATCTCATAAACACTTAGTGAATGAGTGTTTAAATAGTCATACAGTGAACCATGTTCATGATAGTGAGCAATCAGCCACATACATGTTTCATCCTTTTTTACTGCAATGTCAGATGCTATGTAGCCTAAAATATTATCATGGCGGAGCATAACAGTGTTGTATATTTGCGTTTCTCGCTTCCAAGAGTCTTCATCACGTGAGTTGAATATTTTCACTGCAACACTTTCACCATGCCAGTCACCTCTCCATACCTAATGTAAGCATACAGTTTATACATACCAATTTTCATGTTAAATTAAAAGAGAAATGAAATACATGTTTAAATAAATAAGAATAAAATAAAAAATAAATAAAAATATATTTTTTTAAAGTTTAAAAATAATAACTGAAATAGAAATGTGAAATGTATAAATGGCGAAGCTTTTTCTATGTAATAAAATTTTTTGAATTTAATTTTAAGAATACTTAATAATATTTTTATTATAACAATTTTAATTTTCATAGTTATAAATTTTGTTTGGTTATTTAAACAAAAATATATAGGATTCAACACTGCATGTAATGCAAAACAAAAACCAATTATCAAACTAAAAATAATTCTGAAATATTAAAAATCAATTATTAAAACTGAAAAAAAAAAAAAATAATAATAATATTAATAAATAATAAAAAATTCTCCTTCAAATATTAATAAAAATATTTAAAGGAGAAATTTTTAAAAAATATTATTTTTAAACTATTTTTAAACAGCCTTATCTTAACGTATGATGTAAGTTTTTTATTCTCCAATTCTGAAAGCTGTTAATACTTTGTCTTTTATAATACTAACACCAATTCTTTTAAGAAAAAAAATTAAATATATACATACATATATATACATAAAATATATACATATATAGCTTTTTTTCATAATAACCCTGCAAATATTAGGGAACTTTGAGGGACCAAATATTAAAGTTGGATAAAAAATATTTTTTAACCATAAAATAAAAGTAGGATGGTAAAAACTTATTTATATGTATTTTTTTCTTTTTCTTTTTAATTAAAAGCTTATTCTTTAAATAAAAAACTTAAGTCATGCACATTAACATGTACTTGCTTAGCCAACAAATGTGGGTGAAGTCATGCACATTAACATACACTCGCTTAGCCAACAAATGTGGGCGAATAACAATATTTTGAAATAAATTGTAACACAGATTTTGAACTTAATTTATTAGTTTGATGGACACCAAGTAATTCTGTTTTTTTTTTAATTGTCATACCAATTTTTTATTTGCGCATCCTTATATTATTAATCTTGTAAAGTCCTCATATTATAATTCTTGTAAAGTAATTTTATTAAATGCTTTTCAATTAGTTTAAAATCATATATATATATATATATATATATATATATATATATATATATATATATATATATATATATATATATATATATATATATATATATATATATATATATATATATATATCAGCGCTTGAAATAGTTTTTCAAAGCTTGCCTATCAAATATAACTTTTCACATAAACAGGTTATTTTCCCTTGAATTTTTTGAAATTTCCCTAAAAATAGCTGATTATTGATCGTTGATCAGCCGTTATTTTGAGCGCTGATATATATATATATATATATATATATATATATATATATATATATATATATATATATATATATATATATATATATATATATAATAAAAACAATAATCAACATTATTGACAACAACGTTGATTAGGTTTCATATTTCTGATATATCATGAAAAAAGCATCATATTAAAAATGTTTGAAATGTAAACAAAGTATTAAAAAGTTTTAAAATAATAATGGTCATTTCAAATATTTTTGATTTTTAGGAATCATACATATCTTGCTGAATTATAAAAACAAGTTCTTTTATATGTCATTTTTGAAGAAAAAAAAAGTTATATTTCTGTTTATTTACAACTATTTGATTTCACCTTTTTAACAACATTGTAGATAAAGTATTTAATTTTAAAATACACAAAAATATTAACGCAGCTTACCTCACCATAACGACCTTTTCCTATTAAATCAACAAGAATAATTTGCCTAGCTACTGTTCTTTGTACTAAAAAAGGTAATCCTGAACCAGATCCGGATGATATGTCAAATAATTGTTTAAATACATCATCTGCAACTTTTTCAGACTTTGAATATGGTAATAAGTTTTTTTTAATTTTTATGTGAAAGTTTTTGCGCTTCCACACTTTGAAGAGAGAAGCAAGAATTAAAAGAAGAATAATGACAGCAGCAAATGGGGTAACAATACTAATCATTAAGGTAGAAGGAAATTTATTGCCAGGTGGTGCTGATGTAGGTATTTTCAAATATTCTAAAAAATTTTAATAAATTTCTAAGCCATTTTTAAATTAAAATGATAATTATTTTATTTCATACTAGTATTAATATTATTACATAAATATAAATTAAACATAAATTAAAATTAGTTATAAATATAATTATCTATTAAAATACCATAAAGATATTTAGTAATATATTGAAATAGCACATTTAAGAATATATTGAAATAATATTTTTAAAATTTTTGTGCAGAAAAAAAAAAAAAAAAAAAATATACAAAATGAAGTTGGTTTGACAAATTGTGTTCATTTTATTAAGCAAATAAAAAACATTGAGGATATACTGATAAATTTATTTTATTTAAAGTTAGGGAGTCATCCATAAAATATATCACGCTAAATTTAACTTTTAAACAGAGCAGTAATTTTAATTTTTAAAGTTTTTTTTATATTTTTTATTTTATTTTTTAAAGCGTTTTTTATCAAATGAAATCTCCATGCGAAAGAGAGCAAATGATCTCCAACTTCTATTAAAATGTTAGATTTAGCTGGATAATCATTATGAACAACCCCTTAACAATTATTTTTCATTTTTTATTAACAAAAAGTATTAAAAAAAAATATATATAGAAATTACATTTATCAGTATATAAAGTCGCATAACTTGTTGTAAAAATTTCTTCAGCTTTAAACAAAAAAATTAAAGAAAATACTTTATATTTCATTTAATTTGTTTTTAAATTTTTTTTCAAAAAAATTTAACACTTTATTACTTTTAATTTTATATTTTATAAACACTTCTAAGTACCTTTTTTAAAGAAGTGTATTTTATAAACACTTATAAGTACCTTATTTAAAGAAGTGTATTTTATAAACACTTATTTAAAGTACCTTATTTACCTTATTTAAAGTACCTTAGTTACCTTAAGTACCTTAGGTACCTTATTTAAAGAAGTATATTTTATAAACACTTCTAAGTACCTTATTTACAGAAGTATATTTTATAAATACTTCAAAGTACCTTATTTGAAGAAGTGTATATTCAAAAAGAAAAGTTTTAATATAAACTTTTTTCTTAAAATAAAATTAATATAATTAGTAATATTATTAAACTTGTTATTTCAAATTAATTTTTTTATGACAAAATTTTTTTACTTTTTCTTCTTGACATTAATTTATTCAAAAAATAGATCCTTTTGCTGACATTAAATAACTAATTACTAAAGGAAATCTTTAACATTATTCAGACAAGGTATATAAAAAACAAACAAGACACTTTATTGCTGCTAATCATTTTCATATTTTCCCTATTACACGCTAAGCATCTAATATCGACAATAAAAAATTCTTTGTAAACTACAAAAATCTTTCTATAAAAAACCTGATTAAATTAAAAAAAAAAAAAAACTACATCAAGCAACGGGGTGCTTACTCACCAACACACCCTAGTATTTACATCGTATCTACAATTTTTTAAACACATTTCAAAATATTTTTGACTAAATATGCATAAAAGTTTTTTTTCAAAATATTTTTGATAAAATATGCCCAAAACTAAAATAAAAAATCAAACAATATAAAAACCCTTGGATGACAAAGCATTTAATTAAAGCATTAAAATGTAAACAAAAACTTAAAAACTTTCAAATCAAAAAATAAAGATGAGAAAAGATACAAAAAATAAAAGTTTTTCAGCATTTTATATAAAAATAAAAACTAAGTATTATTCATATCAGCTTTAATATAAACAAAGTAACAAGAAGAAAAAACACAAAAAAACTAGTTTACCACAAAAAATAATTTTTGATTAAGAGAAATTATAGCAAGTGAAACAAATATTTGTCAAGAATTTAACAAAAACTTGGTGATGTAGATTTGGATTTCAAAACAAGAAACATGTGTCTGATGCGAAGACTGCAAAGGTTTAAGCTTAGGTCTATTATCATATTATATTAAAATTTTTGGATCTAGTGTTTATAAAAATAAACCATTCTTATTAAAATAAAAACTCTGTAATGGACACTTTGTATAAATCAGGATCTTTTCTCAATAACAAGCCACAAAAAATGCTTTACTCTAGTCAGTACATAATCAGCTTTCTCAGGAAAATATTGTATGGATGAGTATAAAAACAATTTTTCAGATATTTTATTTTTTAGATTATTTTCTGAAAAATAAAATCTGCATTCATCAGTTACAACTATCACTTATGTTACTATGACTACAACTATCACTTATGTTACTATGACTACAACTATGACTTTTGTTACTATGACTACAACTATGACTTTTGTTACTATGACTACAACTATGACTTTCGGAAAATAAAATCTCAGAAGTCAAATTTTATAAAACAAACCGTGGTTCATCAATACAGAGTTGTTAACAAGGCCAAAAGTAGCAAGACCAAGGCCTTAAGTTAGAAGGCCAAGGCCAAAAATAACAAGGCCAAGGCCAAGAACTTTGAGGTCAAGACCAAGATTAATAGTTTTAAGTCCAAGACATACGCAAAGATTTTTGAGACTCAAGACTTCAATTTTTGCAATTCCTTAAGGCCAATTCTTCACAAAACTGTAAGTAGCAAGTGCTGTGAAAATGAAACCACATTTTGTAAAAAAAGAGCAAGGTTATGTTCAGAATTCAACAAAATCAATAAAAAAAAATTTTTTTCAAGGCCAAGGCCAAAACAATCAGGGCCAAGGCCAAAATTTTCAATGCCAAGGCCAAGACCAAGGCCAACAGTTTTAAAGCCAAGGCCAAGGCCTAAATTTTTGGCCTTAAGGCCAGGCCAAGACCAAGGGCTAACAACTCTCCATCAATATAGAATATTTCCCAAATAAAAGTATTAAAAACTTAAAAATCATTTAATTGATCAAATGACAAACTAAATTTCATCTTTTTAATTCCTAATATATATATATATATATATATTATAGTTTATAACATTTTACAATTGATACAAAAGTTTTGTATTTAAAAATTTTTAAAGTTTTTTTTTTTTTTTAATTAATTTATTTTATTTTACTTTTTTTCATTTTTTACATTAAATAAAAATGTGCTTTGTATTATTGATTTTTTTTTTTTTTTAATCTTACAAATGGTATTAAAGTAAGAATACTCTTCATTTTTATTGTAAAAAAATTAATTGTTTTTAATGAGTACAGGGGCTCTATAAAAAAGTTGTAACAATAAACATGTTGTCCTCACCTTCTTTGAGTCCCCAACTGATTATAAAAGTATATAGAATATAAAAACTTATATATATAATGGTGTTTATGCTTATGATAATTTTTTTTTTACTATATTTTATGAAACATGTAACATCGTATAATTGGCAAAATAAAATGTAATAATAATAAAATAACAAAAAGCTTTAGAACAAAAATATGTTAAACTGATAACATTGTTATTTATAACATTTTTGAACAGAAAAAATAACTTATATTCAAAGAAGGTTTAAATTTTTTTTCGAATATAAGTTATTTAAATTTAAATAACTGACATTCAAACATTGCTTTAAGGAGTGAACACATTTGTTATAAATCCACTGAATTAATAAATTCGGTGAATTAAACACAATTTGTCTCAAACCCATTCAATAGATTTTTATTTTTTACCTTCATGGCATGGCTTTGTAAGATATACATTCTCATTGCATAAATTATATCTGCAACATGATGTGTGATAACACTGTGACGTATATGCAGATCCTGTTGAGAGTTTATATATTTTTTTATTTATAGTCATGTCCTGCTTGATCTTCTTCAGTGACAAATCTACACCACAACTAAGTAGTGAATGAACAGATTTCTAGATTTAAAAAGGCTTAAATAACAAAGACATAAAAAAAAAACTTTGAATTTTATCCTCATCCATAATAATCGTAACATTGAAAAAAACAAAAAAAACTTGCTCACACTGTCATCTTGAAAGCAGCCATTAGATTTACCAACCAACTTCCCACTTTTTGTTCCATAAGTAATTGTAGAAAAACAACCAGACTTTGTAAAACATATCTTGTTTTCACATGTATCGCAAAAGCAGCTAACATAGTCAGAAAATTTGTTTAAAGATTCAGTAAGGTTTAATTGTTTTAGAATTTTTGCACGGTCTTCAGAAGAGAGATCACTTAGCGATTTGTTATTAAGCAGCTTGTTGGATTCCACTTTATCTAATGTTTGAGAATCTTTTGAGGTCAATCCAAATAAGTTTGAGCTATTGTAATCCATGGCTAAAAATACAAACTTATTATCATAACAAAAAATTTACGATTATCATAAATATGATCATCATCATCAATATATCATACTTAGTACAACATATAACAATAAAAGTAATTCAACATATAACAATAGAATACAACCTAGTGCAAAAAAAGCACATTTAGTACAAAAAAAGTAAGAAAGCAATATACAACAAGATTTAAAAAATTGTATACAACAAATTAAATTTGACATGAATACTGAAATGGCAAACATTTACTGGGAATAATAGAATGCTTTATTTTAAATAATGGAACACTGCTATAAAATATATTTGTGATTATTATTAAGTCTTTGTTGAAGATAAAAAATATAGTATCTAGAAAATTCATTCTAAACATAACATAAACTTTGATGTTTATGTTTTGTAAAAGATCATCTACTTTTGTTGACTAGCTTTGAATTTTTAAAGCAACTAACAGGATAAAGATGTTGACTTAACAAAAGTTATTAAGTTATTGTTAACTAAGCAAAGCCTTGACATAGTTAAATGCCAAAAAAGAGAAGAAGAAGCCATTCTAGCATAACAGTTCTAATTTTAAAATTTTAAATTAATTTTAAAACTTTTATTTTTTCTTTCTGTATATCAAACTTTTGACTAAAACACATTACATAATCTACCTATTAAGAAATAATAGCGGAAATTAATTAGAGCACTTACCTTATCAACAATAAAACTTAAAACTAAGCCAGACTATATCCATGATAGTATTATGTGATCGCTAAAAGATGTCTGCTCCATAATAGTACTATGTTCAACTTATCAAGATGGTCGTTTTAGAATTAAAATGAACAAAACCATGTGATAAATTATGTAACAAAATGCATTTTTTAATTGTTTTTAAATTGAGGTTCCTGATTGATTTAATATGATTCCGAAGTTCATTTAACAGTTTTTCATCCATAAAACAATTTCATGCTTTTCTTTCCTTTAAGTCAATTACCATACCATTAACATATTTAAATGCTGTTGTTTAGTGTTTAATGTGCTTGTCATACTTTTTAACAAAAAACAATTTATGTAGTAATAAAGAAGACTTGCCAATAAACTTTGCTGTTTCAAAAACATTTTTTCCTTCACTTTATAAATGATTCCTTTAAATTATTTTTAGACTTCTTCAAGATCCTTATTAAGGATTAATTTTTTCAATGATAAAGATCTCCACATTTCCATAAAGTACAACTGTGTCACCCACAAAATTAATTATTTTAGAATCTTTAGATATTCATCCAAGTCATCAAAATATATTAAAAACAACAGTTATCCTAAAAATGAACCTTGTGGAACTCCACATGTTACACAAGGTTTTTCTAAAAAATTTCAATTAATTTTAACACATTGAATAAATAAGCAGTTAATAAACCACATTTAATACTAAAAACACTATAAGAACAAATTTTTGTCAACAATTCAATGTTATTATAGCGTTAGTATCAATTTTGGTTCTGAAAAAACATTTTAAAAGTATAAATGAATTCTTAATATAGGTCAAGAAATTTTTTATCCACATTTTTATAAATTGTTTTACAATGTTTATTATTATTATAATTTTACATATTATTATTCTTTGAAAATTATTTCAATTATTATTTATAATTGTTATTATAACTTTTATTAATTATTTATTTTGTTATTTATTACTGTTATTATTTTTTTAAATCTACTTTACACATTTAGTAGTGATGTACCAATTGCACATTTTTGGCAAAAAATGGACAGAAAAGGCTGATACCAATGTCAATTACTTAACCGATCATAAGAATTATCAATTATATAAAACTAAATATTATAGGTCAGATTAGGATCAAGTTCATCATGATCACCCAGCTACTGGTAACACGTAATCAAGTATAAACTGGCAGATTGTAACTAAAAATACACCCTACCTTGGGATTCTTGGTCGATCTCGAATGCCATCTCTTTTACGAGACAGCATGGTGCTCCGTTTTCTTACTCCTCATTCCATTCTATAGCTCTATAAATCTATTATTTATCCTTGTATGGAATAGTTTTTCATATTTGGGCTGGTCCTTCTAATTATGCTCATTCTCTTTTAGACATAATCCAAAAACACATTGTAAATGTAGTTGGGCATGCTCTAGTTTCTAAGCTTGTGCTTCTGTCCCATTTCTGTACCATGGTCACTGTTTAAGCGATGTACATCTCCTACACATCAAACAACTCAATTTATTCAATTAAAAAAGCTCAATTTGTTTCAACACAAAACTCTTGTTCTTCCTAAACTCAATCTAAAAACTAGGTTTATAAAAGTTTATTGAGCATGGTGGAACAGTTACATTAAAAGCATGTGACTTTGCTAAATGATGAGTATATGACTCAGTTAAATTAAAAGGGCGTGACTTTGCTAAATGATGAGTACATGACTCAGTTACATTAAAAGGACGTGACTTTGCTAAACGATGAGTACATGACTCATCAAATAGCAAAGTCACATCCTTTCAATGTAACTGTTCCACCATGCTTAATATACTTTTACAAACCTAGTTTTTTGCCATAAACACAATACTTAAGAAGTCCAACCTTCATGTTTTCTTCACTCATGCAGTTTACAGTTTTGAACGTTTTCTCTTAATGGTTTTCTTGTTATTTAACATTCTTCTTTGTTTTCTGTTAACTACCAACTTACATAATATCGATAGCGGTTTTTTGGAAGCAAATTTGCTATTAAAAATATATATTAAAGCGTATAATTTTGTCTCAAAAATAAAAGGTACACCTATATTATATATAAGAAGAGTTTGATTTATTTAGTATATAACTTTTTTCATAATGCAGAATTTTTTTTTAAAAGCAATCGGTTAGAAAATTGGTAAATGAATAATAAAAGGCTGATTAATTGCTAATACTACTACAATTAAGGCCTATACCGCCTCCAATACAGATTAATCAGTACATCACTAAGGCTTAGATGACACTCTAATAACTAGTTTGTAACTAAATTTAGTTTGTAATTTTTATAGATAAAATTATTTTGTAATTTACTATGACCGAATTAAATAAAGAAAAAAATTAGCTAATGTTACAACTAATATTCAACAACTTATAAATTGGCTAATTGAGTCAATAAATTATTTATAGTTATGGTTTGCATGGCACAGTAGCTAACATTCTATTACGTTTGCCATCATTACATAATTAGCCATAAATTACATTTATTTTGTTGTATATATTTTCATAAAAATGTTTGAATTATTTAGAGAGAAGTGAAAAAGATAATAAAGTGATAACAATAATAAAAATTAGATAAAAACCATTTGTAATTAGGAAAATAATTCTTAAAAAAAGTGTTACTTAACTCTACATTAGCCTAAAAAAATTATTGTTTTGATTTTATTTCAAAAAACAATAAAGGTCAATAAATTAGTGTGAGAAAGTTTTTTGTTTCATTGTCCAAATAAGTTTCTCCACAGATAATTTGTTTGTATATAAACAAAAGAGGTCAAATAAAGAATAAAAATGTGTATAGAATTGAACTTTTTTTTAAATATGTAATTAATAAAATGTAATTATTTTTTTAATATGTAATAAAAATCACTAAATAAACACTTTAGTTGTAGATGCTACAGTGTTTAGTTGTAAAAAAACCATGCATAGAGAACCAAATTACTGAACAAATTGAGAATGATCTAGGCTAGCTTCTAGGCTTGTTGACTAAGACCATTATTGATTGACATGCTTCTAAATTTTATACCTTTAAAATACATTCTTGTTTTCATTACTTTTATGGGAGACAGAACTATAGTCAAAATTGACAACAACCAAATGGTCAACTTGCTAATAAAATGTAGAGCAACCACAAAGAACAAAGGTTTTGTTATTATAAAACAAAGTTCAAGAAAACTGATTTTTCTCATGACATATTTAAGATTACAAGTAAGATCACTAAATCAAAGCTAGGAAAGACCTTTTAATAAATATAAGACATACTTTGACATAAATAATGCATACTTTTGCATAAATATAAAACATACTTTTGCATAAATAAAAAATCAATAAAGACGTGAAAAGGAATCAATAAATTTTTTAGATTGTAAAAAAAAACTGATTTTTTTCTTACATTTATTCTTAAACAAAAAGCAGAAATAAAATTTACTGAATTTTCGATAAAACAAAAACAAAAAGGGTGCTAAATAAGAACTTTTTAAGAATATAAGGAATTTTCTAAAATTTGGTCTAGTAAAACCTTGAAGTTCTTTTATTATAAGAAAAAAGGTGAAGAAGTAGAAAATATAGGACAAAAATCCTAAAATTTGCCAGAAATTGACAGGTCTGAGTCAAATCTTTTAAAGCCATTGTAGTATTGTATATAAAACAAGTGGTTATATGGGCTATCATTAAAAATGAAAAAACATAAGTGTAAATTAGTATATGTATAATTTATAGATAAAAACACGCAGATTTAAATTTAATATAATTTATAACAGTTAACATAATTTATAACAGTTAATACAATTTATAACAGTAAAAATTATTACCTGGAAACTGACTGATGACCTTGATTTTTAAACGAGAAGAAAATCTTTGGCTCATCTTTTAATAGTCTTTAATATTTAATTGTTAAAATTTTAAAACTTTTAATATTAAATTTAATTTATCTAAAGTACAAAAATGAACAATTCATTTTAACAATTTTAAGGTTTAAATTTAAGTATTAAATTTAAAACTTTTTATTATTATATTATTTTAATAACTTTATAATGTTAACATTTATTTAAATCTTAAAATATTAGATTTATAAAAATTAATAAAAATGTGTAAACATGATTTAAGATAATTCATAACAATTTTTATTCAATTTATTTATTAGAAAACTCTAAGAAGACCAAATGGTCTTATCAAAGAGACCTTTTATGGAATTAACATTTTAATGAGGTTATGTCTCCATTGTTATCTTCTATGATACTTTGGCAACTTAAGCAATATTTAAATTCTAAACATTATATCTGAAGTCTAACCGAATTACATCTGAAGTCTAACCAAATATACTTCTTCCTGACATAAAATTGAACTTTAGTCTCCCATAGCAGGCAGGAATATTTACTATTATGATATCAAAAAAAAATGTATCATTTTGGATAATAGATGAAACTATGCAAGCAAGGAAACAAGGATGCTAAAACAGTGATGATGATAATGATTGGTAATTAACATTGAAACTTACAATGGGGTAGATTTCTTTTTCAAACTTCCATATAGAAATAAAAAGACAAGATAAAA